CAGCCACCGGGGAAGCATTGGCCGTTACATTGAGGGCTCGTCCGCGGCTCTTTGCACGGGGACATAAATAACCACCTTCTCGGGTTTCCCCGAGCTTCCGCTCTGCGAAACGTCTCCCGGGGGAGAGGTTTCGCTTATGGCGCGGGTAATAGTGTTGAGAGGAAGAAAGCTCTTTTGCTGAGACATGTAATGCACTTTGTTTATTGAAACAGAACACAGCGGTTTCAAAATCAACACATTCTCGTCGAACTCTGGGCGGGAACACGCCCTCCTTGCAGCGGGTCCGACGAACAGGTCCCGCGCTCTCTCCTCCCCGACACACGCATCAGGAATGCCGCTCTTTTTTGCCCGCCGGGCGTCCTTGGCTACTAGAGGCCGGCTTCGCACCGAAGCGGGGCTGCTTCCTGAACTGCCTCTGGCGGAAGGGGGGCTCTGGCTCGCGACGTTCTGCCGCGCTCGGGGGCGCGCGTCTGGTAGGTCCCGCTGGGCGCTGCGCAGAGGAAGATCTGGATCTCGCCGCCGGGGGGGCTTGAGACCGTTTCGGCAGCAGATGCGGCATCATTCTAGACTGCTTGACGGTCTCTGCGTACTTGTCGGATAACGACTCCACCGCAACACCGAAAAGGCCCGTGGGGCTTACCGGAGCGTCCAGGAACTGCCTTTTGTCAGTATCGCGCATCCCCGACAGCGTTAGCCACAGATGGCGATGCAGGGCCACAAGACTGCCCATATTGCGGCCGATTCCCTGAGCGACCTTCTTAGACGCCGCCAGAGCGAGATCTGCCGCCGTGCGCAGTTTCCTGAGCAACTCAGGGTCCGGGCTTCCCTCATCCAGGGACCCTAGGAGTCGCGTCTGGAAAACCTGCAGAATTGCCATCGTATGGAGGGCAGATGCTGCATGTCCAGCAGAAGTGTAAGCCTTCTCAGCCATGTGGGCAGTAGCGCGACATGGTCTGGAAGGCAGTTGGGCGGTCTTCCAGCCAGGAGAAGACGCCAGATGAGCCGCGATGGCATCCTCGACGGGAGGCAACCGAGCGTACCCTAATTTCTCAGCCCCTTCCACTGTAGTCAGCAGCTGGGTACCTTGTGCATGGGCTCGGGCTGAGAAAGGGGAGCGCCATGATCTGGTGAGCTCCTCGTGGACCTCAGAGAAAAAGGGGGCGGGTCTCCGCGGGGCTTCAGCTTGACGGCCCGCGCCGAGGAAGGAACCGTCCATCCATCTTTTCGACGGCAGCTCCTTGGGCGCCGTCCACTCCAGCTCCATATCTGCTACCGCCTCTGAGAGAATGGCCATAAGCTCCGCATCCAAAGAGGCGGGGGCGCCTTCAGACGGAGATTCGGACCATGCTCCTGGGTCGGAGGCATTGGTGGACATGGCGTCGTCATCGTCGTATCCAAACGAGACCATTTCCCGCGCTTCCTGAGGAGGGCGGTAAGAGGCCTCAGAGTAAGTCACGGGCTCTGCCACGTGAGGATGGCGTGGGCCTTGGGCCGACGACAGCGCCTCAACAGAACCCGCGGATGGAAATCTCTGCTGTCTCCCGGTCCGCGGCTCGACGGCGGCAGACTGGGGAGAGGCAGGAGACACAAGGTCGTCGTTACGTGTAACGGCCAGCCTTGCACGAAGGATCTTGATGGGAAGCTCCTCACAGGCGGGACATCCCGATCCCTCAAGTGCCCCCTCAGCGTGGTCCCGACCCAGGCACAGCACACAAAGTTTGTGTGCATCCGGGAATTCGATGGGTCCACCACACGTGCGACAAAGAGACATAGTAGAATCCACCGGAACGCGAGAGGGGATAAAAACTCCTAATTTTACTCCGCTCTGAATGCGTAAATCAAGCGGTGAAACAGACTCGAGTGAAGAAAAAAGATTCTGAGGTTTTTGGCGCCCGCCGTCACCTATATTGAGCAGTGTCAGCCAATCAGGTGATGGCGGGACTGCCATTGGCTATTTGCAAGCAAAAGAGTTATTCTATCAGACTTCATGATTCGAGGAAAATGGATTTCCCCATACGTAATGTCGAGAGACCGACTCGATAAGGGAACTGACCTGTCAATCATCAAAGATAAAATCCTCCACATTTCATTTCCTACCGACTAGGAGAGAAAACCAGTAGCACTTTGATCTGCAGTCGCGGGTCGTTCATGCAGAGAACTCTTCTCATTTTAATGCATAATGATGCATTTAAAAGTTAATGGCCAAACGGATCTTAAAAGTCCACATTGTTATTGCAGATAAAATAGAACACGGATAACATTGAATAAGTATTTTTCTATCAGTTTAAACTTTGATTAGTCACTCAAACCTTTATCTAAACCTCTCCCCGTCGGTCGCGCATATCCGCCATGTTTTGAAGTTTTTTAACACTTTTTAGTCGTGTTTGTAGTTCCTCCTCCAAAGCAACAAAGGCGCAGCCATCTTTAAAATATTATCTTTTAACTTCCGTTTTTGCGGTCGCTCTGTATATTTCTATGGCATTGCTGTCCAGGAGTAATTCGCTTTTGAAGTGGATTTACTTAATGTAAAGTTAAGTAAATCTGAAAAGGGGCGGGGCTACATAAGGTCTATAGAACAGTGGAAAGGAAAACTAACTTTACTGAGAGCCCTCTAGTGGTCGGGAGCATTTCCGTTGTGTTGTGGCTTATTTCCGTTTTGTTGTGGCTTGATTTCGTTGTGTTGTGAATCATTTGGCGAAGTGATATGGACCAATCAGATTCAAGCATTCAACAGCCCTGTAGTATAATATATAATATAATATTACTTATACCATGGTCTGGGTGAATACTCGATTCTGATTGGCTGCAGGGTGTCCGTTAAAATGTGATAGAGGACACCTAGTAAAGTAGTTCTGGTGAAACTGACTGTTTACCATTCGAAATTAATAAATAAATGCGCTGGCTACATCAGCTGTGAGTAACCATAGCAACAGTCAAAGTATCCGTAAACAATTTGCTCTATCAAAACAAACATCTATCGTTAGTTAGATATTACATAGCCTACTAATACAACAATGAGCGACTTCGTTATTTCTTTTAACATTTATGAAGAATACGACAACTTTGACGACTGGGATGCTGCTGAAGAAAGAAAAAATGTAAATAAAAAGCGATTGATCTGATTAATTTATTGCCCTCTATAAGCGCAAATCTAATTGTTTTTTTTTTGTTTGGTTTGATTGTTGTTTGATTAATTGTTTAATGTGTAATAAAAAAATAACTATGCCTACCTTTGTGTTTCATAGAGAAAAAAATGCATTTTTGAACCTGAAGGGTTCTACAAGCTGAGCGGACTATAAATATCTCCGGTTGCTAAATAAACCGTCAGGCAAGTTATTATTTGTAAAAACTAGATTTAGCCTAATTAAAATATAAACTAATGTTTTAAAAATGTTTTATTTGCCAAGTGACCATGGTATAAGCGGGTTAATGCCCTCCGAGGTGTCCATTGTCAGGTTTTAATGGACTTCGGCGGAGGCAACCGTCCTCCGCTGCGTGTCGGCCGGTTCACACCTCGCCGTCGTCCATTAAAACCTGACAATGGACACCTCGTCGGGCATTAACCCTTACCTGTAACTAGGGATGTGCACGAATATTGGAATATTCGAATATTCGATCTGTAATTATTATTCGAAAAATAAAATACTATTCGAATTTTACTACATTGCTTTGCTGGCCGTAAATGCAGTGAATCCATGATAAATCCCAAGCACTAACTCGCAGTTATAATTAAATGCACTGGGTGGCGCTGTGAAGTGTGTTAACAAGTTGTGTGTATTTGATCACATAACGTTGTCGTCTGCCTCGCGAAGTTTGGAATTACTTGAAAATGATCTTACTAAATGGAATTACTTTTGATCGAATTAATTAATTAATCTGAGTTATAATATCATCAACACAATGAGAAATCACATGAAATCCAAACAGTCGAATGAGGAAAGGTAGCTGTCCATCACTGCATTCACGACTGCAGGTAAGCGCAGCTGGACCCCGCGTGATCCGAAATGATAACTTATCTTATAGCAAAATGATTTTGAGACATATACTTCCTTTAGGTTTCGTTGAGGGAGACCGGTTTAAGAACAGAAAACGCAAAGTGCTGTTAGAAACTTAGAACACCGTTATCTTTGTGTCTCTGAAGCGTCTGTCAGCAAAGCGTCTTTTCTCCCTCGAGCATAAATTGCTGGCGGCGCCCCTGCATGTGGATATTGTTTTTCTCAATAAAAACGTGAAACAATATAAACACGATAATCATATGCTGACTCGTGTGTGTGTGTGTGTGTGTGTGTACGTTCTGTTCGATATCTGGCGCAATGTGCTTTATTAGGCGTTTTTTCCCGTTCGCGCTGCTTAAACATGCTTTTATTAAAGATGCCCTAGAATGTTTTTTTTATTATTTTATAATGTTTCCTGGGTTACCCTTATAATGTTAGTATGTTTTTTAGATAACAAATAATCATAATTTAGAAATAAATGGCATTTTTCCTAGCCTGCTTTTAGCCTCTGATTTGAACACTCTGTTTGAAGGGGCGTGTCTGCTGTGGGATTCAGTGTAACCGCGGCCACTGCTGTGATTGGCTGACATGCTTGCATATGAAATAGCTACGCATTACATGTGAAACTCTCTCGAATACTTTTACTACTGCTATTATACGTGTTTACAACAGCTATCGAGATTAACGAATCGTGAGATGTTTTTAAAGTATTTAGATCTATTCCCATCACATAAAATGTTGCCGTGATGAGCATTGAGCAGATGACAGGGTGTTGATCGCGAGAATGAAGATCTTATCATTGCAAAGCAGTTTCTGCACTCTCTCTGCTTTCACCAATGCAAACACGATGATGTAAATACAGTAAGAGCTTCGTTGTGCAGTAACGTGCGTCATTGATTTCATAACGAGTTTGGCAAGTGTCCAGATAAACTCGCGCTGTGTGGAAAGATTGTTCTTTGATCGCTTTCTGTATATAATTTGTTCACAATTTAAATACGATTATTTTCATCCTACTAAAAGAATGATACCCTTCATGATACACCTTATTTCTTCACCGTTTGTCTTTGGACACACTCCTGGCTTTACTGTTATACAGACACATGACAGAGAAAAAAAATTAGCCCTGATATATTGAAGAGCACAGGTATATGTGACATTATTATAATGAGTTTTTGTGAAGATTGTTTTAAGTTCACTTAAATTATAAGTTGTTATATTTTTTAAAGCCTGATAAATGTTAAAATTGATTGCTTTCAATTATACTGTAATGTCTATAATTAATGACTAAAATTAGGGAAAAAATCTATTTAATAGAGACATCAGGATCAGTATTGGTATCAGTGATGCCTTATTTCATAAAAAGATGCCATTAAACAAACATTTGAAATATCAGCTATTGTCCTTATGTTGTTTCTACATTAATTTTGAGATTAAATGTAAAATTACAATATATAAAAGTACTTGAATCTCAGGTGCGATTAATTGCGCTTAATTACAGAAAATGTGCAATTAAAGGTATAACATGCAGGAATTTTGCAGTAAAATATCCAAAAACCACTAGGCCAATGTTATATATTTTGTTTAGTTGATTACTTACAATATCCCAAATGTTTCCAACTATTTGTAAATCGTGAGAAAATTGCGATTTTAACCAAGGAAACGGGGCGTGTGAGCAGGGGTGAGGAGTCGCCAGTCAATGGCGCCGTCATATCCACGTTACCCCCGGTTTCCGCCAGGTTTGACCTCGTACTGCAATAGTAACCATGGCGACAGACGTTGACAACTGGGTTATGCCGGTTATGCCTAGAAAGACGCTCACGCTGTTGTTGTTTTGTTCAAACATTATGGACCATGGCAAGCAGACTTTGAGGCAAAAAGAGGACTAAAACGAAGATCAACATCTTTTGAGATGCCGAGAGCTCCACGTCCGCGACTAACTTTGACTTGACAGAGACGCGAGTGTTGCATGTTACTTTATTAGACAGGTGAGCAAATGTACATAAAACTAATCAATGTTATGTAATTCAACATGATGAAAAGTTAGAATATGATCTGTATGTTAATCTAGCTTAGTCTCATACAGCTAACAAACAACCTAACTAACAACATTCCACCCACGAATGCCGTTTAGTGTGATAGTGTAACTGTTAGAGCAAGTGAAACAGCGTTGCGTTACCTCAAGTTTAATTCCTCTAATAAACTGACCTGTGTGAGTATTAATTCAGCACTTGCGTGTAGTTCGGTAGAATGAAATGTCCTTATTCCTTTATATCCGCAGGACTCGCGTTGGATGTGGCGCTGGTATACGTCTAGCAATCGCGCCCTGCTTCATACCACAGTCATGTTAAAAACATCAATGTATTCACTCATCCATAAAAAGATCCATCAGCTTGACGACAAGATCCATAATTACGCTTAATGCGGAATATACGTCATTAATACGCCTTTGTTATTGTAAGAGGTTAGCGAGCCCTGGTGGCGAAAAATCCTGCATATTGTACCTTTAATTAGTAAAACTCTTTTATAGATTGACCCGCACATAATATAATATAACATAATAAAATACCTGTAACTGGAGCCATACACTGAAGTCCACATCCATTGCTGCAGCATTTCTCATTGTTGGTACAGTCACTGTCATCGGCACACGGCACGAAACGTATCCGGGCACACATTCCTGGTTCATATGTTCTGCTTGGACACACTCCTGGGTTTGCTGTTACACAGACACATGAAAAAGTGCATAATTTTGAGTGTGTAGCAGAAGAGTAGACAAGCTTTGGGACATACTATCACATCATACAACTGCGTCTTTAACGGTTGCTCTCTGTCGCTTAGTTACACACATCCTGTCACGCAAACTGACCTGTCAATCATCAAAGATAAAATCCTCCACATTTCATTTCCTACCGACTAGGAGAGAAAAGCAGTAGCACTTTGATCTGCAGTCGCGGGTCGTTCATGCAGAGAACTCTTCTCATTTTAATGCATAATGCATTTAAAAGTTAATGGCCAAACGGATCTTAAAGGGGTCATATAATGCCATTTTTGTACAAGCTAATATGATTCTTTAGGGTCTAAATTAAAAGTTTGTAATATACTTTAATTAAAAATTCTCATTAGTATTGTATGAAAACACTTATTTTACCTGGTAAAAAACAGCTCTGTTTTCAGCACGCCGTTTCAGTGTATATGACTTTAAATGATCATGAGCTTTGCTCACCCCGCCCCTCTGTTCTGTGTACACCAGAGCCGGCTCTGGCGTACACCGTTTGTAACACAATAACAATAACGTGTTGTTCAGTATAAACGTGGGATTATGCATTATATTGAGAACGTCATACATAGAAAACATGCCGTAATGTACCCTGAGTGTAAACTTAGACGCATTCATTGTGAAGCGTGCAGCTAGCGATTTACAAGGATTAATATAATTATTAATATAAAGTTTAATAAAACCTTACACTCACTTCAGTTGTTCTAGAGGTTCAGCAGGAACACGAATATCTGGTACCGATCTTTTTTCAGGAGCAGCTTCTTAGCAAATCCAGCTTTATACTGATCCTCATTTATAAAGCAGTCTTGTGTGTGAAATGATTCGCACATGAGAGCATTGACGTTGCTCGTGGGGAATATTCCCTTCGAAAACAAACACAGCCACTGCGTCTTCAGCGGTTCGGATTTAGGAACATTAAAATGACTGCTGTGTTCGTTATTACACCCAAGAACAGAACACCACAATCGCTTAGACGCCATTCTGCTCATAGACAGTGCTCCAGCATATCAACAATGACCGCGCCGGTCCGCACAGACTATGATTGACAGCTGGCTCACTAGCGAGGGCGGGTCTGTGTTGAAACGCGGCTGTGATTCAACAATCGCGGTAGGGGCGTGCGAGCTTGTGACGTCACAGGCTCGAACGGCTCGATTTGAGGCAGGGGAAAACATATAAGGAGATTAAAACAAAACCACTGGATGGATTTGTATCATTATATGATGGTTGTGTACAGACACTGGCAACACAAATTTCAGTACAATCAACTTGTAAAAGTGCATGTACCATTATATGACCCCTTTAAAAGTCCACATTGTTATTGCAGATAAAATATAACACGGATAACATTGATTAAATATTTTTCTATCAGTTTAAACTTTGATTAGTCACTCAAACCTTTATCTAAACCTCTCACCGACGGTCGCGCATATCCGCCATGTTTGTAGTTCCTCCTCCAAAGCGCAATGGGTTGTGGGCAATATTAGCCTTTAGAGTGAGCACAGATCCACACTTCAAAAATCCACCAGATATAGTAGACCATCCGGGGACTTCTGACATACTCTTTTTAACATACTATGCTTTGGGACAGTATGCTTTTTAATCTCACATAATGTTTAGGATGGATAGTATGGACATTGAGACGCAGGGCTACTTTCTGTACGAATTTCCGCGTTTTGAATTTTAGAAAACTGAATTTGAAGTTCCGAATTTCTTCTTCATCTTGAAAACTTGAATGTGTATTTTTTTTTAACTGGATATTTGCAGTCTAAGAATTCAGAACAACAACAGAAAAACCGCTGTTTGAAAATGTCTATAAAATTCAGCCATAAAAACATTTCAATTCGTTAAATTTCAAATGTTCAATATTTGTTTAAAGAAATCAAATTCAGAACTACAGTATTTAAAATTCAATTAGATTACACTTGTCAATAATTCAAATGTACACAATTCAAATCATTTTGTCATATTATAAGCTCCATATTGGTCAGTGTTGTCGTGGGTTTTGGTTCATTTTTCTGTTGTAGGCTGTAAGGTATGGTGGCCCAGTAGTAGAGCTGGGCGATATGGCCTAAAAAAAAAAAAAAATCCCAGATATTTTCACAAAAAATCCGATTTACGATTTAAATTGATTTGTTTCCCCCTACTTAAAGGGATACTCCACTTTTTTTGGAAATAGGCTCATTTTACAACTCCCCCAGAGTTAAACTGTTGAGTTTTACCGTTTTTTAATCCATTCAGCCGATCTCCGGTTCTGGCGGTACCACTTTTAGCATAGCTTAGCATACATCATTGAAGTGGACAAGACCATTAGCATTTCTAAAAAAAAAAATGACCAAAGTGTTTCGATATTTTTCCTGCGTCATATCATTACGCCTGCTGCACTCATGGTACGGCAGTAAAGTTTCTTGATTATTACGCTGGAATGAGAGTATAGTTCCTAGCCATATCAGCCTAGAAAATCGCAACTTTACATTTTCCGTCGGTCTTAGTGCACGATGTAACTACAGAAGAGTCAAGTTTTAAATAGGAAAAATATCGAAACACTTTGGTGATTTTTGTTTGAGAACTGCTAATGGTCTTGTCCACTTCAATGATGTATGCTAAGCTATGCTAAAAGTGGTACCGCCAGAACCGGAGATCGGCTGAATGGATTCAAAAACGGTAAAACTCAACAGTTTAACTCTGGGGGAGTTGTAAAATGAGCCTATTTCCAAAAAAAAGTGGAGTATCCCTTTAAAGCAACACCAAGCAGCTTTTCCTCTGCGGTCGCCCTACAGGTTGGAAGCGGAATTGTCCATTACTGCTGTCGTAAATAATTTAGCCTACCGCATCGTCGCACGCGCACGCTCTGTTTATCCAGCACCGGCTTTGGAATCAACCATGGCCACAGACAAGGTAGAGTATGATGCATGATTTTATGAAAGTGTAGTTGTAGTCTACTGTCGAGTACGCTCCCCCTATCGGCAATTGTAACGCTTGCCGTAAAGCAAGTCATATTTGTAGTTTTCTTAGGTCTCATTCGTACTACAGAAATGTGACCCGATCTGGCAATCTTTCATAGCGTGGATATATCAGATTTAGGACCGCAAAGCTGTGGCATAAGTGCATTTCACCATGTCACAACTTGATGAACCACTGAAACGATTTTGAAAACATTATTTTAAGGTAAAAATTCTTACTTAGTGTTGCTTTAAAATCAATCTGCAGATGACAAAGAAATTGTTCAAAACAAGTTTTAACTTCTTTTTTGTTTTGATTTTCCCTTCTGGGATTTGATCTGGATTCCCCCCTTGGGGTTAAAGTGCAATCAGAAACAACAAGCCAAAAAGACAAGACGGCAGGCCCTGCCTTTGTAAACAGTGAAAATGTAACATAACATAACATAAAATGGGTGGATTGGGATTGGGGGGGATGTAAAAAAAAAAAAACTTGCATCACAATAAGTATATTGTGATTGTCAAAACATTTGGTTACTAAACTAAACTAAATTTTATTAAGTTTAGTGACAACACAATGGTACAATGACTGGTATACTACTGTTTTTATTATTGCTTGACACAAATGACGCAACGTATTTTAGCACAATTCACACCCAGCGGTAGCCTAATTCAGGAAAAACAAATCTCTGAATGCTCCACATGAAACTTTAGTCTCCCGACCTTACCATCGTGTCGTTTATTTTGATTAATATGTGCGAGGGAGAGAGAGAAGCGCTTAGTTTTGAGATGGTGAAGCCATATACTTTCGTCTTGCTCCGAAGAGAGAGAGTGCGCGGCGCGCGCGACTGGGGCTCTCTCTCTCTCTGCTCGTTCAGTTAAACCTGCGCCCTGTCACAAGCGCAGCAGTTCATCTACATTACTCACCGATCAAGACTTTGGCGGTACAAAAATTCGCTTTGGAGGCCGTGCTATGGTGCTTGATAAAGGACAAAAGGGACAGTTGTGAGTTCACGGTCTGTAGCCTACATACTATGGCTGACTCAGAGCAGGAGCATCGATAAGAGGACTCGTTAACGTCGAGGGCATAAGTTACAATATTTCGATGGATCGTAAAACTTAGAACCAGTTCTCGAGTGGAACCGGTTTTCAATTCCCATCCCTAGTCAGTAGTTAGTTGTACATGTAGTTCAATTTTCCATATTTATTGTATGTCATTATGTCAGTATCAGTATTTGCTTTCAACCATGCACAAATAAAAATGTCACTGAACATTTGCTGTGTAATTGTAACAATGAGCACTCACCAAACCAACAATTACTTAAAACACACACAAAAACTGATTTTGCACATACATACTGTCAAATCGATTAATCGCGATTAAAAAAATATACAGTACACACACACACGTATAATATACAGTATATATATTATAAGTATAATATATACACAGACACACATACATCTATCTATAAAGAAACGTCTGTCTGTGTGTCTGTTATTCGCATATCTCGGTAAAAGAAGCACACATTGAAGATGTTTAGATAATGTTTAGAGGGTTGTGGTTTAAAAATATCGGAATATTATTTTATTCACGGCCATCATTTGTTGTGCCTATTCACAAACTGTTTGCTCAAGCGTAGCGTTTTCTCTGAGTTAACTGTGTAGCCTGATCCCTGAATCGTCACGCTTATTCATTTATGGATGTTAACTGAATCTGTAAGTCAGCTACACTGTTTACTTCTGAATATTATATTTTATTCTGCTGCGCTTAACGTTATCGTTACTGTGTAGTAGCCTATGCTATTCACCAACTAAACATAAAAGACGCTAACTGCCTTTCATTGTCTCTATAATTGTAATCTGCACAATGACAACAAAGTTGACACTTATGTAAATCTAATCTAATCTAAACTCCATAGCCATATCACCATTATAAATTGTTTTGCAACCATGTAGTTCAATTTTCCATATTTATTGTATGTCATTATGTCAGTATCAGTATTTGCTTTCTACCATGCACAAATAAAAATGTCAGTGAACCTTTGCTGTGTAATTGTAACAATGAGCACTCAAACACACCAAACCAACAATTACTAAAAACACACACAAAAACTGATTTTGAACGGGCATATCTGTTATTCGCATATCTCTCGAACCGTTGTGGATTTCAAACTTGACAGGAGTCTTGCTATGGGCACGAGTAAGTGCATTGCCAAGTTTGAGATTGGTTGGATTAGAAATGCAAAAGATATCGTTAAATATATCGGTAAAAGAAGCACACATTGGCTTTTGCCGCTCTAGCTGCTGGCCACTCTGGCTCACACTGCACACTAAGTGGCCACTCCCCCTCTCACACTGCACAGTGAGTGGCCACTCCCCCTCTCACACTGCACACTGACTGGCCACTCCCCCTCTCACACTGCACACTGACTGGCCACTCCCCCTCTTACACTGCACACTGAGAGGCCACTCCCCCTCTCACAATGCACACTGAGAGGCCACTCCCCCTCTCACACTGCACACTGAGAGGCCACTCCCCCTCTCACACTGCACACTAAGTGGCCACTCCCCCTCTCACACTGCACACTGAGTGGCCACTCCCCCTCTCACACTGCACACTGAGAGGCCACTCCCCCTCTCACACTGCACACTGAGTGGCCACTTCCCCTCTCACACTGCACACTGAGAGGCCACTCCCCCTCTCACACTGCACACTGAGTGGCCACTCCCCCTCTCACACTGCACACTGAGAGGCCACTCCCCCTCTCACACTGTACACTGAGTGGCCACTCCCCCTCTCACACTGCACACTGAGTGGCCACTTTCCCTCTCACACTGCACACTAAGAGGCCACTCCCCCTCTCACACTGCACACTGAGTGGCCACTTTCCCTCTCACACTGCACACTAAGAGGCCACTCCCCCTCTCACACTACACACTGAGTTGCCACTCCCCCTCTCACACTGCACACTGAGTGACCACTCCCCCTCTCACACTGCACACTGAGTGACCACTCCCCCTCTCACACTGCACACTGAGTGGCCACTCCCCCTCTCACACTGCACACTGAGTGGCCACTCCCCCTCTCACACTGCACACTGAGTGGCCACTCCCCCTCTCACACTGCACACTGAGTGGCCACTCCCCCTCTCACACTGCACACTAAGTGGCCACTCCCCCTCTCACACCGCACACTGAGTGACCACTCCCCCTCTCACACTGCACACTGAGTGGCCACTCCCCCTCTCACACTGCACACTGAGTGGCCACTCCCCCTCTCACACTGCACACTGAGTGGCCACTCCCCCTCTCACACCGCACACTGAGTGACCACTCCCCCTCTCACACTGCACACTGAGAGGCCACTCCCCCTCTTACACTGCACACTGAGTGGCCACTCCCCCTCTCACACTGCACACTGAGTGGCCACTCCCCCTCTCACACTGCACACTGTGTGGCCACTCCCCCTCTTACACTGCACACTGAGTGGCCACTCCCCCTCTCACACTGCACACTGAGTGGCCACTCCCCCTCTCACACTGTACACTGAGTGGCCACTCCCCCTCTCACACTGCACACTGAGTGGCCACTCCCCCTCTCACACTGCACACTAAGTGGCCACTCCCCCTCTCACACCGCACACTGAGTGACCACTCCCCCTCTCACACTGCACACTGAGTGGCCACTCCCCCTCTCACACTGCACACTGAGTGGCCACTCCCCCTCTCACACTGCACACTGAGTGGCCACTCCCCCTCTCACACCGCACACTGAGTGACCACTCCCCCTCTCACACTGCACACTGAGAGGCCACTCCCCCTCTTACACTGCACACTGAGTGGCCACTCCCCCTCTCACACTGCACACTGAGTGGCCACTCCCCCTCTCACACTGCACACTGAGTGGCCACTCCCCCTCTCACACTGCACACTGTGTGGCCACTCCCCAAAATAAACATTCTGACATTAGAGGGTTGTGGTTTAAAAATATCTGAATATTATATCATTTTATTCACAGCCATCATTTGTAGTAGCCTATTCACAAACTGTTTGCTCAAGCGTAGCGTTTTCTCAGAGTTAACTGTGTAGCCTGCTCCAGCCCAGGTCTGAACCTCCCCTGAATCGCCGCGCTTATTCATTTGTGGATTTTAACTGAATCTGTAAGTCAGCTAGCTACACTGTATAATTCTGAATTTTATATTTTATTTTGGTGCGCTTAACGCAGGTGCGCAGAGTTTAGGCTCCTGTGTAATAGTAGCCTAGGCTATTCAGCAACTCAAACATACCAAACCAACAATTACTAAAAACACACAAAAACAGATTTTGCACGGGCATTCCACTAGTTATATTAAATTATACGTTTTAACCACTTGTTGGAATTGGCAGACTTAGGCATCATGCACTGTGGTAGCGTTCCCTTAGGCATCAAAGCCTTATGTGGATGAAAGACAACAACTCCCAGAATGCACTTGCTTCGCTGCCCTAAGAGGCCACGCCTACCGGTAACAGAGCACAGTAGTTAAACAACAAGTCTAGGCTACTAGTGAGTCTCCATGATGAGTCTGCCCGGGTTTTCGAGATCGCCCAAAATGTCCGGGATTCGGCTTTTGCGTTCTACAGTCGTCATTCATTATGTTTACTGTGGCGAGCAGGACGAGGCCGGTGGCGTGATTACCGATGAGCGACACCTGTGAGACGCACCGGTCTCGTATCTCTCACGGAGGAGCGGGAATTTTCTTAGCAATGTTAAAACGCACATCAACCGATCACTTGTTTAGGGTTCATGTAAACACGACATTCAGATTCACCAATCGGAATGAATTCAGTTAGATTGAAACAAAAGGTGTGCATGTAAACAATGAATGGTGACTGCAGAAAGCAAAAGCTGAATCCCGGACATTTTGTACGATCTCGTCGGCCGGACATGTCCGGAAAAAAGAGGATGAATGTGGTAACCCCTACTACTCAGCTTTCTCCTACTAAGTTACTCAGCTTTCTCCTACTAAGTTAATGATATGTTCTTGTTCTGTCTCCACAGAACAAGAGCCTGCTAGCTTAGCTTCCAAAAAAGATGGCTGACACTGTGTACATTCTGTGAGTGAGATCCCACCCTCTATGGGCGGGTTGAAAACATGAGGAACAGCCCCTACTACTGGCTGTAGTCTTTAGCCTCTGGCCAAAAAATCCTCCGATGACGCAAAATGACGATTTTTGCGTCATTAGAGGATTTTTTCCAGACAAAAAATACATAAATCACTCGTCTCACGAGGGTGGAAAGTACAGTAATTTAAAAATATTACAGGTTTTCTACTAATACAAAGCTTAATGCTAAATTCTGAAGTATCCCTTTAACAAATGTCAGTAGATAGACCGGGAAGATTTTAAAACGGGCAGTTTATTCATAAATACGCAAGATCACTGTGAAAATACAGATCGGAAGACAAAAGGGCCACATAAGGTCTATAGAACAGTGGAAAGGAAAACTAACTTTACCGAGAGCCCTCTAGTGGTCGGGAACATTTCCGTTGAGTTGTGGCTTGATTTCATTGTGTTGTGAATCATTTGGCGAAGTGATATGGACCAATCAGATTCAAGCATTCAACAGCCCAGTAGTATAATATAATATTACCTGTAACTGCAACCATACACTGAAGTCCACATCCATTGCTGCAGCATTTCTGATTGTTGGCACAGTCACTGTCATCGGCACACGGCACGAAACGTATCCGGGCACACTTTCCTGGTTCATATCTTCTGCTTGGACACACTCCTGGCAGGGGCAGACTGGGCATCTGGTTCACCTGGAGGTTTCCCGGTGGGTCGATGTACAACTTGGTCTGGTCCATTGCTAAGTAAATATATATAAAGAACGAATTATAGAAAATGTACGTAGCCTATCTTTCCGTCAGCCCAGACGAATGGCCCACTTGTGTCAAAAATTTCCAATCAATTTAGTGTGCTCAGTCTCAGTGCAGCGGTCTAAAAGCACTCGTCAATGTCGGAATGTTTGAGATCAAATCAAAGAAGCCAAATCAAATCGAAGGCGGAGGGATTTACTGTCCACAGAAACCGAGCAGCGCAGCACTTTTTAATTCTTGAAGAATTTGAGCCAAGGTATTAAAGGTGGGGTAAGCTATATTTGAAAAACGCTGTTTGGAAAACAACAACAAACGTGTGTAGCCAATCAGCATTAGGGGGCGTATGACGGTGGAGGAGAGAGAACGAGCAAGAGGGAGATTTGAAGAAAGACCGCAGAAATCGAGATGAGACACACTATACAAAAGAGAAAAGCTCATAAGAAATCACTGGAAAATGAAAAGCTCATAAGAAATCACTGGAAAATGAAGTGTTATGATCAGGAAAGAGCTTTAGGACCCGCGTTAATATTAGAAAAACATTCCAGCGCTGGAGAGAGCTCAGCGGGACGGCCTGAAAACAGACACGGACGGAGTAGACAAGCTTTTGGACATACTATCACGTCAAACAACTGGGTCTTTAACGGTTGCTCTCTAGATCTATAAGAATTGATATTTCTTTATTGTTTTATATTTTTATGTTAGTGTAATTGCTGTTATGCAGACTTTCTATGCATTTGTTTCACAATATTGCATTTATAATTTCATTAAAATCCATAATTTCATGCATTCATCTATTAGAGGTACAATGTAAAAATGTGTATTTGATGTAATGTTATGTAAATTCATTTATGTCTCTTTAAATGTAAGGCTTTAGTGGAAGTGACAAAATATTGTGTCGCCCCCGATGGACTGATGCTGAGGCTCTGAAAGTTGAATTTAAGTTTAAAATAAGTGTTGTCTCAAGTCAAAGGGGACAGTGAAGAGGATTTTGTCAAACTAATGACTCAATTACCTCTTTTAAGTATTTTAATGAGGATTCATTTTAACCTCTTTCTGTGCCTGTGTTGTTGTGAAGAGAGCTACAGTTAGTAAGTGCTGTTAAAAATAGCTCTATGCATAATGAGCTAGTGGGTTTATGGTGTGACTTGTTGTGGACTGGTTGTGGTGGGCCGCTCTGTGCCAGAAAGTCCAGGGCCTCTTTTTAGCCCCAGCCCACCCTGTAATATAACAAACACCACTTCTTCCGATACACAATATGAGACCAGTACGCCTCACTAGGTCAGTTTCACAGGCACTTATTCCAGTCCCTACAAAAATAACTATGGTCAGAAATCCTTTTTTCATACATACACTACAATTTGGAATGATATTCCACATCACATCAGAAAAATACCATCCATCACATATTTCAAAAAGGCATACAAACTGTTTCTTCTAAACAGTTACACTTGTACTCACTGATTGTTTATTTATTGTCCGAGTCCTGTTTGCACTGTTTGTATTGTTGTTTTTAGTCGTTTGTATCTGTCTAGCCCATGCTAATGTCCTGTATAAGTGTTTCTGACTTCATGTGTTGTAAATTGTGTTTTATGTTTTATGTTCTGCAGAACAGGAACCTGCTGGAAACCAGTTTTTAATTTGAGTCAGGCCTGTTTAAATTGTACCTTAATGTTACTTTTAACCTTTCCTGTATAATAAATTAAATGAAATTAATATAATCTAATATAAAAATACCTGTAACTGGAGCCATACACTGAAGTCCACATCCATTGCTGCAGCATTTCTCATTGTCGGTACAGTCACTGTCATCGGCACACGACACAAAACGTATCCGGGCACACTTTCCTGGTTCATATGTTCTGCTTGGACACACTCCTGGGTTTGCTGTTACACAGACACATGACAGAGAAGCCATATCATTAAAAGCAGGAATTATTTTTTCACTGTAAAAAAAAAAAAAGATTTTTGGAAGTTGTACATATTATTGAATACGTTTTACAAGAAAGAAATATTTCAGTCTTCCCCCTTCTATGAAGGTCGACATATTGGCTGTGGCCGAAATCTCCCACTACTCACTATATTGAGCTCGCCATTTTGTAGTGCTGTCCGAATGTATAGTGATGATTATTATACCTTATATAGTCCACTTAATGTATCCCAGAATGCATTTTGAAAAGTAGTGTACAACCGATTGTCACTAACCCAAGCCCTATACCATCTCTGATACCATCAACGCTGATCGTAAAAGACCTATCATCTTCATCTTTAACTTACAATTTGACGACTTCTCGCTAGCGTAGCAAGAACAGCACGTCGTTTTCTGTGTCTAGAAATCCTGTTTCTTTTGCTAATCCGCAAAATCTTCTGAATCACGAGAACAAACAAACAAAAAAGATAAATATTGAGTGGCATCTCTACAGAGTCTAAAAGCTGTTTATGAGCAAGATATTTGATAATGTAGATCTGTTTTTTTTCCTAATGTCGACAGGCAAGAGAAAACGGTGTGGCGCGAAAATGAAAATATATGAAATATGTGTATTAATTTTATTTATGTTTATAAGTTATAATCATGTGTGGAGTAACGCATTATAACAGAAACGGCCAGAAATTACTTTTAATTTTACAATTTTGGAGAAATAAGCTCAATATAATGTAATGTATTTATATATAAAAAAAAACTATTAAGCCCAGAGCTGGCTCGATCGGCACCAGCTGACAGATGATGGCGCGTTTAAATAAAAAGTGGTGTTTCTATTATGCTGGTGAGCTCACTATAAAACGTTAGTGCTCTACTCCCTGCCCCCTACATAGGGGTTAGGGAGTAGTGGTTTGAGTGGTGATTTCGGACACAGCCATGTTTCTACCGTAGCCGAACGCGAACAAACATGCGCTACAGAGCGCGTTTTACAAGTCACTACCTTGAAAGAAAGCAGCACAAAGCTAGAAGCTAGCCATAAACACCGTGAGTAGTGACTTTTCCCTTGTCAGTGGTGTAAAACATGTAGTTGGATTGTTTCATGTAACTTAGTTATTTTCCCTCGCTGTGTTATGGCTTTGCTATGTGGGGATAAATGTGCTGGAACGCCCGTGAGACAGCTGATTAGTACTCTTGTCATTGACCGTAAAACATTATGTTACAGGAATCACCAACCCGTCGATCTTGGAAGCATTTTAAGTCGATCGCGAAGAGTTTTCAAAATCAGAGAGAAAAAGCCTATTGTGTGTAGTAGTAAATGGTGTCTAGGGGATGCGGAGGCGCGCGCGCTGTAACAATCATGTCATTTTTTCCGCGCGCACCTTTGGGCTCATGCAGTCGCGTCGAGTATAAACAAGGCTTTACCCTTTAACCAGCAGTAACAGCTCATATTAGCCAGCTAAACTTTTACTACCCTGTTAGAAAAAAATATATAGTTGCGTAGTTTCATGTGGTTCTTCTCCCTCGCTGTATTATGGGTTTGCTATGTGGGGAGAAATGTGCTGGTTACGTTTGTGAGACAATCAGCTGATTACTATTATTATATTATATATTAAGACCCTTGATCCTCACCTGACTATGCTTTGTAAACTTTATCCATGATGTGGTTTATAATGGACTGTGGTACTGAAACAGTTACAATGTTACACACTTATGGCTTACTCTGGCTAGGGCTGGGCGATATGGAGCAAAAAATATATCTCGATATATTTTGCTATATCTCGATATTCGATATATATCTCGATATCTTTACAGGAAAATGGATGTGAATACAACTCAAAATATAGGCCTACAATCAATAGAAAATTAATTTTCCATAACAGAATGTAACCAAATAAGAAAATTCAAGGCAGAACTATGCACTATGGAAGTTCGATTAATGGATAAAATTCAGAGTCATTGTTATTTGATGCTTAAGAAAATTAAAACCTGGTTGTGGTACAGTGTCAGTGATTAGTTGTGAAATCTTGCATAAATTGAATCTCATTTAATCCTCCATAAAAGTTTATGTGCTCGAATTATTTCTATTTATTAAACACAGGGCCTGAATTTCGTCATTATTACGAGATTCATATACAGAAACTGAATAAAGTAATCAAATGGAAAATAACACTGGGTAGTATTTTAGTCCTGAATAAATTAAATACATAGGCTATTAATCCTGATTCCTTTAACTTAAAGCTATCTTTTGTTGTTTTGACAACAAAATTAATGACAGACACATATGGCTGCTAGTGCACGGACCCTGCGTTCATTATACTGGGATGCGTTTTATGCTTATTAAAGACAAAACCGACTATGTTAGAGTATACTCACGAAGACCGAAATTGACATTTTTGCGTGTTAAAGCAATAAATCCGCGAAAAATAACTTTTGTTACTGGCCAGCTGTTTTTGAGGCGGATTCTCTATGAATGTGCGCATAGAAAATCTCTCAGAGAGCGCCCGAGCACTGATTAGTTTAAAATCGCTTGAATGTTTAAACTGGTAAGACTTAAAAAGATGTGCAAATGGTAAACTTCAGTCACGATGCACTGCTGTATGGAATGCCAAAGCTGACTTAATTAAAAATAAATAAATAAATACATAAATAAATAAATAAATATACGAATAAATGTAAAAAAGCAAAAATACATAAATAAATACATAAATAAATATACAAAGAAATGTAAAAAAGTACAAATAAATGAGTATTTATACTTTTATTTCCTTATTTATGTATAATTGTATTTTTTCACACATTTTTTTTATTTTTTTATTTATACATTTATTCATTTATTTATTTCCACTTTTATTTATTTCCACATTCATTTATGTATATTTGTTTTTATGTCTACATTTATTTATTTCCACATTTATTTATTTCCACATTTCTTTGTCTGTATGCTAATGAGGGGGGCGTGTTTTACCTCAGACATCAGCAATCGAGCTCAGAGTGGCAGTGCTGAAGCTTTGAGGCCACAGTTACACCTTGTGCTGTGTGACCAAACGAAACGCAAGAGGTGTGCGGACAATATCACATTTTAAGTCATGTATATCACCCTAACTGTATGTAGGGTATAGGCTAAATAGGGTTAACACACATAGCACACATGAACAGAAACTGCACTTCAACGGGTCTGATAGCAGACACTTGGACATGGAAGCGCATGAAAGTATCTACTATTAATAACAATGTAAACGCGATGGATAGGGGCTGATAAGAGCTTGCGTTTATTGTCGATGAGACTCGCACACCAGCGCAGAACGCGGAGAGAAACCAGCGCACATTTCACTCACTCCTACGCAAGCATATTGATCAATGAGTTTGAAACGCGACTCAAGTTTACATTCGCGTTTCATAATTTCGTATGCATAACAGGTGACAATTCAAATGCTTAAAACACAACCCATATTTCATAGATGCTGCTCTTAGATACTGATTAATCACAAGTCATCAATTTGGAATTATTCTTAAATCAAACAAAAGGGGCTCATGTGAACGCAGCTAGTGAGCCACGCATCTCCCCCCATGCAGTGGAGGACAAAAGCATCATCATGCCCATCAAACAGCACCTGTCGTGCCCATGGTCGTGGGGATATTTCCCCCTATAAATTGATGTTATATCTACCCAAACCTTATTAAATAGGTAGGCTATACATCATCATATATGTCAAGTTCTTGATATTAATCGATAAACTACTCAGTTAATTATAATAATGGCTGTTATCAGTAAAATAAAATTAACAAAAGTCATTAAAAGTCAAAATCTTAATACAGAGGAGAATGCTTTTACACTGCAAATACAATTGCATAAAAGTCATTATGAGATTAATGTTAAAAAATAAATGAATATAGAAATATGAAATGATGGAATCAATTAAAAATTGTATGTTTAAATATGAAACTAAAACAGCCAGTAGGTGGCGGTAAGTCACTGTCTAAACGAGTGAGTCATATCATTAATTCAGACCGATTCATTCAAATACAATTCATTCATATTGGTTGCAGTTCCATTAGAATTCCACTGGAGGTGATCGCGGGCGAGTGCAGAATGAATGGGAGTCTATCAAGGGGGTAATCCATCAGCCGGAAGTTGAAGCCTCGCGGGAGCCGCCATTGTAGCAGACCATCACCTGCTGTTAGCATCCCATTGACTCCCATTCATTTTGGCGTCACTTTGACAGCGAATAACTTTACATCTGAGGCGTCCAAAGAATTCATTTGTCCATTATTAATTTCTAAAGAAACACGACAATGTATAAAATGTTCCATTACTTTGTATCTTATGTTATAGCCCCGTAGAAGCCGTTTTTTTTTTAAATAGGCTAAAGATTGCGTCATAACCACGGGACTTTCTGTCGCACAATAGAGACATTACCGTATAGACAGGAGGAGAAGCTCGCAGGCAATCTTTAATTGTCTATGAGGCAATCAGGGGGACATGGAGGCACAAAGTCAAGGTAGAAGCCCATAAATAGAGAGTCTATAAAAGCAATGGGACAAAATATTTCATTAGGAATTAGGTGATTCAGATTTGGCTTGGCACAGCTACTATAAGATTTTCAACTGCCAGACTGTCGTCACGCTCAGTTTGAGCCTGCGCAGTCGCTCAGACATCAGACAGGAAGTGCAATAATCGGGCTTCAAGTCTTCTCCGTTGAAATCAATGGGGTCGCTCTGTCCATTTCTTTTACTGTCTATGGAGTCTATAGAGCTAAACGGCTAAATGTATCTCTTTCTCCTGCTTGTCGTTGAATCAACATAGGCTAGATTTTATTGTTGATTCCGCAAGTTTAATATAGATTATAGGCCAAAAGTCGAATGAATGAGTACTTATGTCCTTTCGATTTCTTACAGGTTAGGCCGCTGTTGGCCGGAACACGCTAGCATTCTGCTATTATGTGACGTCATCACATTTTTTAACG